GTTCAGCAGTTGTCATCCATCCCTTGTCCTGTCAGGTGTCTGCATATGTCTGTGTTAATTTTGCCAGCTCTGTTCTCGGCACAGAGCACTGGGAGTACAAACAGAAAAAGCTGCCTGGCTGAAAGGAGGGGAGGTTCCTTGCTTCTTTCTCTCTCATTTGTGTATCTTGAGTATTGCTACGGGCAGTGCATCTCCTTTTGGCAGAACAAACCGTTAGGCTCTTCTACACAATGCCCTGCAACTTTTCCTGGAAACTGTCATTTTATATTGAGCACTTCCAAGAAGAAGGGCAGAATGAGATACCTCCCAAGTTTAGCAGGAAATGATGGAGTCATCAGGAAAGGACAGTAAGGGAGAAATGAGAAAGCTCACCTGTCTGGCAATGTTTCTGTCCTGTGCAGAGCTAAGCAGACAGGTCCTTCTCTGCCCCCACTTCTCCCACCTGTGTGGGCTTGGGTTGGAAATTCCTCCCCACCGTCATCACACACTGACTGACTCCACCTCATGTCTCTGTGTTCATCTGTATAAATGTGGGCAGAGCTGAGCTGAAATCCACAGTTGGGATTGTAAGAGTCTATTGTTGTACAGAGTAATAATTATTGTATTTCAAACCAAGAATACTGTTTGTAAGTGTGGATGCAAAGCAGTACAGAGACTTTCACTCTTTGTGAGGTTTTGAACGTGGTGATATGTTTTCCTTTCCTGCAGACATTTTCAGAAGTTTTTCTTCATGCCTACGAACTGAAACACGTCAACAGCTCTGCACAGGAGTGGGTTGTCAATAACTGGTCCATAGTCTTCAAGTGTTCACAGATTTTATAGTATAAAGCACAGAGTAAACATGTTCTGATGTATTGATTTCTCTTTTCAGTCTGACGCAGGTGATCCGAAAGTTTGCGAAGCAACTGGATGAGTGGCTGAAAGTGGCTCTTCATGATCTACCAGAAAATCTACGAAATATCAAATTTGAATGTATGTATTGCCCAATTTCTCTCCTATTAGCTTGGGATATATATAGTGTTTATTGATTACAAATTAATTGGAAGTGAGACTAGTGTTCTTTTAGGAAGTAAAACCTGTCAGCGTTATTAATGTTGCATTCATTTACAATCTTCACTTGTTTCTGAGAACCAATTTCATTTAGTGAAAGGAGGTGCTGCTCAAAATGAAAAGAATTGCTTTTCCTTTCTTCTGGATTCTGATAAGAATTAATTTTGTTGATAGTAAGCAAACATTAGGGATGATATTAGGCAGAGGAAATTATTAAACAAACCTTGAGGCTAGCACAATTTGAATACAGCTTGAGGCCCTTACTCAAAAAAAGTGCCAGAGTTAAAAATGAAGGAGATCAAATTACCCTGTCACCACAGGAAAGGGCACTAGTCCTTTTCAGACGTGCTTTGTAGATGCCTGCAGTGCACATCACCTATTGATAAAGCCTGCTTTATTTCACGGCTCTCAGTTCTTTGCCTTTCATGAGCACTAAATTCCACACCACAAAGTTAAAGGAAAGAAAGCAAAAAAACCCACAACCTAATTTAGGAGAAGGATTAACTATTTTGATCAGCATGGAAAATGAGGCGTATATTTTACTGAGAACAGTCAGGTTGTAAGTTGGAACTACTAATTTTAGGTATATTGTGTTGTTTACTAGTTTACTTTAGAAGTTACACAAAGTCAGAACTGAGAATCTGTTTTATCACATCTTTGTCAGTTCAAAAATATCAAGAACCTGCAACAGCAAAATCTTTTCTGAACTTGCAGGGAGAGATAGACAATGTCCTTTGTCATCATTCTTAATCTGTTCTATTTTACTGCCTCTACATACAATACAGAAGGAAAACTTGCTGTGTCGCCAAATATAATGCCTGTTTGGATAGATATGCAAGTCTTTATTGATTTTAGTATAAGGAGAAACTTAAGAGCATCGTGACTTTTACATGAGCCTTTGTTGCTTCTGCAATTGTTTCCTCCTCACGAGAATGTGTGATGTCGTGCAAACCAGTGGAGGCAGTGACAGGAGTAACTGCAAGCCTTGGTCAGCTCTGCAGTTCCCAAGTCATGGATTTCAGACAAAAGATGCACAATACAACATTTTAAAATCCCGGTGTAGGAGATACCTTAATACAAGGTCTGCATTGCTTAGGAAAAGCTAAAATAGGAGGAGAAGGCTAACAAGTACCTCTGGGGCCATCTTACCCCCATAGCATGTCAGTACATCATGTCATCTCTTTCAGAAACTTTGATCAAATGCTACCTGAAACTGATTTTAGCTTCTACTAGTCCAGTCAGAAGAGTCCTCTAAAACTTGTTTGCATTAAGACCTAGAAACCTTTTCTAATTTCCACACATAATGTAGCTATCATTATTTTGTGGTCATTTGTTCTTGCTCCAACATTTTTCTTTCTATTAAATAATCCTTTCTGGTCTTCAGTTTCTTTGTGTATCAAGAGAAAATTTGCTGTGCTGAACAAGCGAAACTTTTCTATTGTCCTCTACGTTTCTCTTGTCATCTCATTATTCACAACATCTATAAATCATTCCTTGTAATCTGCCTCTATAAAACCAATTGAGTATCCAGATTTAAGGGTTTAGGTCAAGGTTTAAACTGAGTTAAAACCAGGCTATTTGAATGAACGTTACATAGCTACAGTTGTATATAGGAAAAAATATCATTTTTTGGTTCTTGTCTTAGTTTAGTATTTTCAGAAACAATTTCATTTATTTAACATAGTATGTAAATACGTTTCTCTTCTTTCCTGCAGTGTCCAGAAGATTCTCACAAATACTCCGGCGACAGACGTCACTAAATCATCTCTGCCAAGTAAATATTTCAGTTACCCAAGTTTGCTGAATGCCATTTTTACTGACTTGTCAAATAATTTTATGAATTGGCAGGTTGGACTTTCCCCAAAGAGGAAGAGATCATGTTACCAGTTTATCTCCAGTACATATTGTGACCATCTAGACAAAATAAAAAAGTAATCAGCAAAAAATGCTTTTCTAAACAACTGACAACCCCTGCTCATTAAATTCAGCAGGGAACTTCTATGAAACAAAATTTTTATTTGATTTGAAGAGATGGATAATTTCCATTAAATAAATGAAAGACATTCCTTTGATTTCAGAGCAGTTTTGTATCAGGCTTATTGCAAAGCAAGAAAAAAATTCTGTATGCCTGACAAAAAGTTGAATCTCTAATTTTATATTGTAAATCAAATGCAAATTAGTAAAAAGCAAAATGGTTGAACCACTGGGATTTTAAATAGTAATATTCTTGCAACCATAGCAAGTGAATATAAAAACTGTTCTGAAATGTTTGCTTTTCTCCAGTTAGTTTTTAAATTATCTGTCAAAAATTCAAGAGGCCAAATTCTATGTAGTATAAAAAGGAGGAGGATGCATTTAATTAACTGATGTTTCACCCATGTATAGGAGCAGACTGTTTGTTTTCCCTGTCAAACTGAAAACTCCACTTTTGCAAATTGTATCCAACACCCCATATTAACCCTGTTAGTGGTGAAGGCCAGAAGAGGAAGCTCTGTGGGGAAAAAAAGCAACTTTTTGGTAGATTTCTTCCTCCATTGTTTTAGTGGTGGAGACAGAGATGCCAGTGCTACCTTTCCCCAGACTTTGTGGATCATCACTGAACTTTGGAGGATTGTAGGGAGGAAATGAAGATACGGAGACCACAACCTTCTGCCTCAGACCTAGGATCAGATTTGAAGGATTCTTCCAATGCATCATTTCCTTGGGAAAGCTGATAAACCTGAGTGTGGGTTGTCATCTCTGCTTCTTTTTCAGAGATGTGTTGACCATGACTATGTATGACTTTATGACCATGACCTCGTGTCACTTCCTTTTCTCTCAGCCCATCCTCCCTATTATCAACAGCAGACCCCTGTCTCAACCAGCCAAGAAGTGGATCTTGGTGGAGGCAAATAAGCTTTAACCTTTTCATGTGGCTGAGGAAAGAATGAGAGTCTTCATAGTTTGGGAGAGGGGAGGGTGCAAACCTGAGAGGGGTTTGTTTGGTTTTGGTTTGATTTTTCTTGTTGCCTTTTGGTTTTGAACTGAAGCTCGTCAAGAAAATCAGCAGAGCTGTTAGAGATTGAGGAGTCTAGAAACAGCACCACCAGATTGGGGTTGCCTCTCAGGGTTTGTGGTGGATGCAAGCAGAATACCTGCAGTTGATTGAAGTGGGAAAAATGACTTGGGAGTTTTCTTTGGTTAGAGGACCCTGTAATGTCCTTATGACATCAAGCTGGTGGGTGGGGGTCCATGAGGAGAATGAATTTAGTGAGCCTAGCTAAGGAAGCATAAAAGGGGATAAAGCCTATTTTTTAACCTAATAAACCATGAACTAATGAATAGATTGGATTGGATTACAGGCATCAAGAACGGTGATCCACAGTGCAGACATCACATTTCAAATGCTGGAGGACTGGAGGAATGTGGATCTGAATAGCATTACCAAACAAACCCTCTATACTATGGAGGACTCACGGGAGGAACACAGGAAGCTCATCATACAATGTAAGAGTAGAACCCTCGAATAAAGCCAGGTGAACTTGATTTCCTGCTGGAAACAAAGCTCAGTGAAAGTGACACTGTTTTTGCAGCCATTGGTTTGCCTGAAGGTTTAAGATAAAGATAGAGACATTTACCAAAATGTAAGGCAAAGCCCTCTTAGGGTCTTACATTTTGAGACATAGGTCTGGGTATGCTGACATTAACGACTGTGGGCAAAAACACTTGCACCCAAATTCAGGAGGATGTTTTTCCATGAACTTGAGCAAACTAAATCTATTGGTTAACCATTGAATCAGATGAAGTCCAGTCTCTCCTGCTATAGAATTGCAGGAGAGTTGTCCTTTGAATGGCTTCAGCACTAAAGTGGCTGCATATTTGAGTCCCTTGTAAACTTTTATTTATAAAAATCTTCATTTTACAGTGCTCTCCATAACAAGATATTTTGTTGGGGCAAGCTTTCACCCTATAAGTAGATGTCCCATATCAAGCAAACTCATTGGCTAATTTAGGTTCTGCATAGTATAGTCAAGAAAATGAACTATAAAGTGACTTTGGAGATGTTGGCAAATATCTTTTGCAAATATAGGACTTAACTTGCATTGTCCAGCAAGTGTGTGTGGTTATAAGCTTATATGTAAACCAAAGCACAGAGTTTGTCCCTCTGAGGCACTAGAGGTGATCAGCTTTGTCTTTAGCATTGTTGATAACCTCAGTTCCCTGTGAACCCACCTGTTGTGTTGCCATCTCTCACCTGAGAAGGACCAGTCATCTTTTATCCAGCACCAGCTTTAATGGGGAGCAACCCAGGCAACCACTTGTGAGGGCCCTGCAAGGGTAGGTTTGCTAATGGGGGCAACTCTTTCAGTGAGTGGCTGGGAAGAGGAGGGGTGACACCTTCACATGCACACTGGACCATGCAAGGTTGACTTTGGCACTTGACCCACCGTGATAACAGTAGAAGTCTTCTTCCCACTTCAGGGATGGGCTTTGCATTCCCTGTTAGCTCTGTTTTCCAGAAGAGGTGCTTTGGACTCTTTCCTCTCCTTCTTAACCATTGATTGATTTCCCATCAGAAAGGGCCCTTTTCCTTATTAGCAATATAGAAACTTGAGGTGGCAGCAGAGGAGGCAGCATAGAGTGAGACTGGAGTCCAGAAGCTGCCTGCATCATTCCTTCATCTCCTAGGTTTTCAATATCTACCCAGCGTCCTCCCATTGTCCATAAAAAGAAAGAGTTCTCTGTTATAATCCCTAGTAGCAGCAACAATTCAGGCTCCCATTCAGGAAATCTTCACTGCTTAGGGAAGATTTTAGTTTATGTGCTATTTAAATATAGACTTAAGTGTAATCAAATCAAATGGAATTTTCCTGAATGCTAATGGATTTGAACATGTTTTCCCGTATTTCAGGCCCATATAGTCCAATATGTGATTACTTAGAAATGGTAACTTAATATGAATGTTCATAACAAGATGGGATCCCATTGAGATGTGCAGATATGTATGGAATTTATTCTAGAACTTGAATGTTTTTCCCCTTCTGATGTTTATTCTGCTTGCCCGAAGACCTTTTCAAAGATCAGATTCTGTATGACTCATATGACATAGAATTAAGGCCTGTTTTCATATTCTTGGTTTTAATAACCAAGAAAGTACAATTTCCAGCTACTGCAACTGGGAGATAAATAAATAAATAAATAAAAGTATTTGAAAGCCAATAAGCAAGTTTAGAGAAAAACAGAAAAATCACTGGGTGTAAGAGAAGCTCTTTCCTGCTCTGCTGTGGTAGGTGTCTCTGACAAGGGCCCTCAGCACAGGGAAGACCTGTTGGAGAGGGTCCAGAGAAGGGCCATGAAGATGATCAAAGGGCTGGAGCAGCTCTGCTATGAAGACAGGCTGAGAGAGTTGGGGCTGCCCAGTCTGGAGAAGAGAAGGCTCCAGAGAGACCTTATAGCAGCCTTCCAGTACCTGAAGGGGCTACAGGAAAGCTGAGGAAGGTGTTCTCACCAGAGGGCAGTGACAGGACAAGGGGTAATGGTTTTAAACTGAAAGAGGGGAGATTTAGGTTAGACATCAGGAAGAAATTCTTCACCATGAGGGTAGTGAAGTGCTGGAATAGGTTGCCTAAGGTGATTAAGGCCAGGTTGGATGAGGTTTTTGTGCAGCCTGGTCTAGTGTGAGGTGTCCTCATAGCAGGGAGGTTGGAACCTGATTATCTTTAAGGTCCTTTCCAACCTTAGCCATTCTATGATTCTATCATTCTATGGTTTCTTCATTATTCTCTCTTTCTCAGATCCTGTTGAGGTATTTTTAATACTAGAGGCTAAACAGTTACTTTTCTGAAAGGTATCAAGGTCATTGTATACAGTTGCATTGTTCCAGCAGCAAAGCAGGCAACTGACTTGTTTTTCCGCTCTTGCTGCCCTCTTTATGCAGCATATAAGTTACTTCATCTCTTGATAAGGCAGTTTTTTGTCCAGACAAATACTCAGGTAAGGAGACAACATGTAGATTTCTCTGTGATCCTGTTCTGAATAAGGAAGGGTTGCCCATTTAATGAAACAAGGGAAGGATGGCCCAAACATAATTATTTCCCTTCATCCCCAACAAATTTTTCTGACCACCAAGGCTTTGCAAGTCTAAGTTAAAGAAAGTTACAGTCAGTTGTGAAGCAAAAGAATTCCTGCTCTTCTTGCAGGTCCAACTTGGAGACCAGGGAGATCGTTCTCTGCACCATTCTCGGGTAGCCTCTTTGGCTCACATCTCTAACTATCATCTCTAAGCTTTGCTTCTTCCACCTCCCTCATAGTCTTTTCTATGGTGGGAAACTCCTTACTCCTGTTATTTATAATGAAGCATAAATAGAAATGTATGGCACACTGAGATCATCCTGTAACACAGCAGGTAGAAGGTATCTTCTTTACTAACTAGGCCTTTTATTTTAGCTGAGATGAAGAATAGTTTCTGAAGGCAACAAAACACGTGACTCTTTGTCTTTCAGCCCTTGATTCTCATTAATAGAGACATGGAGGTTTAAGAACTGCAGTTGAACAATTTAGATGTTTTTACTTTATTTAAAAATTAATATGTGCAGTTGGGAGAGGTTACAGAGTATGCAGGTTGCTTTTTGAAGCTACTCTTGTATAAATATAATTGTTTAAGTTAAGTATAGCATTTATGCATTGATAGCAATTGGTTTTGAAGATGTAGAAGTTTATGGAAATGCTTTGTGTGTGTGTCTGGCATTGCAAACAGATGATTTACAGCAGTTAAATCATGTGTTTGCAACTAAAGCATTATACAGATGAGAGCCCTATCAACAATATTCACCCACTTGGTGCTTAGGAGATTTTTAAATGCATTTCTAAATGAATTTCATGCATGGCCTTTTCTCATTATCAGGGTAATGGCCCAACTTTGCACTCGTCATGGAGAGCACCATAATAATTTCACTTCTGGGCACACCAGACATTTATCAAAAGATAAATTTTAAACAACAAATTTAAGCAATAGATTTGCTCACCTTAAAATACTACTTCAAATAACTCAATCACTTTCAGTAGAAACATGAGAAGATATGAAGCAAATTTCCTGGATCAGCACCAAGAAAGATATTATTGTCATAGCTCGACAATTTAGTATAAAAACCACGGGAAACTTGTGATATTATTGGCACCTCTTTGTGACTTGTTTCTCTTTTGTTGAAAATGGAATCCAAGTCCTGAGGTAGGCTTTTATTTTCTTCCTCTGCCAGTGTATCAGGAATTTGATCACCTCCTGGAGGAGCAGTCCCCCATAGAGTCATACATCGAGTGGCTGGATTCCATGGTGGACAGATGTGTCGTGAAGGTTGGTATGCAAGGAGAAAGAGCCTGAGACAATGATGAGCTTTATGAGCTCTGTGCAAGTCACAGTTTAGTGAAGAATCTCTTGTTTGTTCTGTCCCAAAAGACAGAACTGGGCTGAGGTTTCCAATCACGTCAATATTTCAGGGGTATGGAGAGATGAGTTCAGTGTCATCCTAACTACACAGGGCAAATACAAAGCCTAATCTAGTCTAGCATTTTAAGATTTTAATGAAAAGGATATTTAAGCTACCTAATTAATTAATTTACATTCAAATGCAAGGATGAAAGTCTGTATTACCATTCAGTCCAGGTCACGTTTATGTTCCTTTTGACCTGTTTTGGGATACTAAGGGCATGTATTTTATTTTAATTTAACCATGTGCAGAAACCTACTAAAAATCTTTCAAAAATCTGTTCAAAACTGATCACGCCTCATCATAATTTTATGTAGAGTATGAAACTGTATGACTGTTTAAACTTCTGTCACTAACTATACTTTGTTCTATTAGAATTTCAATTTCTCATTCCAGTTGTTAGACCTACAAAATAGAAATGTATGTATATATGCTATCTCTCTCTGATGCAAAAGATACATTCAGAAAACAAATACTTCTCCAGCTCACTGTAAATATAGTAATAGTTTCGGGGAACTTTCCTTTTTGTCAGGGGAATGTAGTTTGGAATTTGGACCATAATTACTAATTTTAATGAAGAATTTGACATGAATTTTATTAGCTAATTAGATGAACCTAATTCCTTAACTCAATGTGTCCATAGTAAAGAAATTTTTGAAGACTTGATGCCTAAAGTGGGCTTTCTGGAAAGTATTTTTGCTAAGAAAATTACTATGTGAATTCACAAAAGGTAAAACATGAAGGAATAACAAATTTTATGTTCAATTAAAACCTTAATCAAATTATTAATTTAAATGTTTAATGTAGATCAAGCATTCTTGATTACAAATTGCTTCCTGGACTAGGAAACAAGAATGAACTTGTAAGTAATTAGGTTAGGATGATGGTTGTATCTAGTTACAAGGTAGCTCTCTGTATAAGATATTTTTTTTTTTCCTAAATGTTTTGTGTATTTTTTAGAGAGAAGATAATGGTAAGTAGTTTTTCAGTATGAAAAAAGAAGATAGATCTGTGCATCATTCAGCTGTATTGGGCGGTAGAAAGGAGATTTTCTCCATGTCAGATGTATCTGTTTTCTTGCAGGTAGCTGCCAAGAGACAAGGCTCTTTGAAGAAAGTAGCTCAGCAGTTCCTCCTGATGTGGTCCTGTTTTGGCACTCGGGTGATTCGAGACATGACTTTGCACAGTGCACCCAGCTTTGGTACCTTCATTTTGCTGTGATAATTGCTTTCCGTAGTAAAAACATTCTGTATCCTGGCTTGTAATGTACAGTTTAAATGAAAACATAATCAGTTTTCACATGTCCAGGGCTCTATTAAACAAAGAGCTGGGGCTATTGACATTTGGAAATAATGCTCAGGCAGATCCTTGTCTTCAAGATCTAGCCAGGGGGGCTGAAAACATTACTATATCCTTCTGTTTGTTGTTAGCCCTATTGGAGTTATCAGCCACAGGTCAGCTGGGAGGGTCCCTTACAAGAGCATCCCTTAATGCACTTCAGTACAAAGTGGGCCCTGTTACCCAAACTACTCTGACCCCAAGTTATGCTTAAGAGAGGTGACTTTGCACTGCAGTGAATGAAAACCTCTCCAGTGAACCACTTTGCCAGTTCTGCTTTTAAAGGACTTAGCATTTTAAACCAGTCCTTGTAAAATGAACATGTATCTATACCCTGGACAGATTCTCTTCCATTCTCTTAGAATTCAGTCAGGGTGGAAAAATAGACTTTTTAAATGGAAAAGCATGTTACTATTCTACACAGTTTCAAAAGGGGCTTTGTCTTGAACCCTGGGATAAAAACAGGTCAGATCAAAATCCGTTAAAAACAGGAATGATTGAAAATGGGCTGCTGTGTCATGCGAGTGAACATTTGGTTTTGCATGAGGTGTGGCTTTTGTAAATGCACATTTGTCTGAATGTGTTAGTAGAAGGTTAATATTGCATTATTTTAGGAAAGAACTGTATTGAGCAACTGCAAGGTTTTCTGGCAGTGCAGCTTTGACGTCCTTTATGCTGTTAGAATCATCTAACAGCATAAATTCAGATGCCATCAGAAATGGACACAGTATGATCTGTATTTATGACTAAATCTGAAACTAATTCCATTGGTTTCCCCCTGTAAACAGTCTTCCAAACAGGTATCATGAGTCACCATGAGACATCAGGATAGTGAGTATCCCCAAGCTGAACACAACTTCCATATGCTAGCTTGTGTTTTCAGCACCGGGATCATTGTCACACATATTTTCCACCTCCTCTAGGACTCATTTTCTCCTTGAGTCACTGCAACTTTTCTTTTGCTGTGGACATAAAAGTAGCTGATACTTCTTCACAGTATACTTCTCCCCAGCGTTAAAATATACCTTTGCACGAGGGTTGGATAAATGCTGAATTTTGCTTTCTAGCACTTTGGGTTGCTGCACTTCTCCCTGCAGGTATAATCCCAACCTGTGAAACATCTTGGTACCCAACAAATGAAAAAACATCTGCATTAGTGCAGTGATGAGGTTACACTGTTACAAGTCATGATATGCTGACATTAAGCTTCCCCTAAGGATACATTATTGCTACTGAATTGCACATTACAACATTATTTTTATTCCTGTTCGGGATATGTTTGTAAACTAATAATGCATTCTCCATTTCAGATTATCAGTCACCAAAACACATTTAATCAAACAGGGATTCCCTAAATAGTTATTAGAACACCAGCTGTATGGATGATTTGTGCAGTGATCCTCAGCTGTGATTTCTTACTTATTAACAGAAACATTTATAGACTTGCCTTGTAGCAAGTAAATGAGAAATTTGAGAATTACTTGTTGGTTTGAGTTTGGGACTCACTAAAATAGATCTTCCAAAATAACTTACCTGTTGTCTCTGTTATAAATGGCTCCTGAATGTCTCATTTTTGAGAACTTCAACTGCTCAGGTAATTCTGTAGGGTTTGAGGGTTTTTTTGTTTTTTAGTTGGTTGCATTTGGTTGAGGTTTTTTGTCTTTTTAGTTCACTGAGTATATCTGTGTGTACAAATGCATGATTGTGCTTCTTATATGAACACACACCTTTCAACCTGAATTTGATATGTTTATATGTAACCACAGTCAGAGAAAGAATGTACTGGTTGCAGCTGATGTGTTTTTCATGGGTATGTGGTATTACAGTTAGAACTGGATCGACAACTGCTTTCCAATTCAGTAGCCAAAGCAAGAGTTTTAAAAAAAAATAAATTAGAATCCCTGATCATGCTTAGTATGAAGCTGAGCTAGTTTGGAATTTTTATCAAATTCAGGAATCTTTATTTTTAAAGAAGAAAGATCAAAGATAATTATTTTGTATCTGCCACATTTTGGTGCTTAGCCCACAGTTGCCTCTCAGCAGTCTTGGAGCAGCGCTAATCACTGCCAGAACAAGCTCTCTAACCAAAAGGGCTGGAGGATTTGTCCTGTGGGAGGGTTTTTTCATATTTTGTGTAGAAGCCAGTCCACTTTGTACAATCCACATAACCATTTATTGAGCTGCAGAGGTCTGCAGCTGACTAGATGGGTTCTCTCCTTGGAGGTGGTGTGGCAAGAGTTGGTTCAAGCCTTTATTTATACAGGGTGAAATTTTCCCTGCCAAGGTGCAAGTCTAAGTGGAGGTGGGAGATCAGAGCCTCTGGATATTCAAGTGGAGAGTAAACAAAATTATATCCTCATCCTGTCAGGCAGCCTGGGCTGTCTCCACCTTATTTCCCCCAAAATGTCCCAAATGTTGTTTAGCCATGGACAAAAATTTAGAATAATTTGTATTAACGATTCTTCTCTTTCCC